CAAGTGAAAGCGAACAATAAAGGACGTCGCTATTGTTTCATTGCCGCGATTGTCGATTTGGGTGGTGTTGATACGCAATTGTTATGCTTGGACATTTTTTGTGGTGGCAAGAAGAGTGGCAAATGTGATACCAAAGATTATCACGGGATGTTCAACCACATCTACTTTGTTCAGTAGTTTGATAACTTGTTGGCTGAGTTGGACCGTCATGGTGTCAAAAATGCAACAATTATTATGGACAACGCAAAATATCAAAAGGGTTTACCAATTGGAACTCCGAAAGCAAACTGGAAAAAGAAAGACATGCAATCTGCTTGCGATCAGTTTTCCTTGGAATATGAAACCGATGATGTGAAAAGTATCTTGTGGTCAAAGTTGTCCAAGTACATTGATTAGAATGTCAAATCAGAGGTGGTGTCCATGGCTGAATCAAAGGGTCATGTTATTCAATTCACACCACCACACCATTCTGATCTGCAGCCCATCGAGCTTGTGTGGGCAATTGTTAAAGGAGAAGTGGGACGTCAGTACACTACTGACACAAAGTTCACTGATGTGCTGGTTCGTCTGCAGCGTGCTTTCTCATATTTAACGTCGCACGCTATCCATGGGTGCATGAAAAAGGCCGAAGATAACTTGATCAGTTTACACAGTCATATTCTCGCGGTGGACAGTAATATCGATGCTTGTGATTCATCGGAGGAAGACTCCAAAGACAGCTCTGGTGAAGGCAGCCAAAGCGACGAGTGACCGAAGCTTGCATGTGTAGTTCTCTGTGCTTTTATAATCGTCATAATGCATCTTGAGTCTTTCGTGACAGGCATCGTTTTTTAGTGCCATATGCTTCACTGCATTGGCTTGAGTTCTCGCTATGTTAGTTCTTTTATCCGTTGTCCCCTCGATGCTGACGCCCTCTGTAAAGCCGCACGAAAATCCAACGAAATAACAGATCCATCGACAGCATACCAGAGTTCCACTCAACTTGACGTCCGTGCCTCGACCAACCAGGATCGAAGCACGCTCATCCACCAATTTCTTTTTTGGGTATTGACGCCGACCCAATCGTACGAGTCAATCGGCGTGGCCGAGACGCACTACACCACGGACGAGAGCAAGTTGTAAAAGAACGCTAACAGCAACGTTGTCGACTTCATGAAGTGGCGCCGCACCTCGGGTCATGATCGGCGCGAACGCGGACAACACTTGCCTGGTGGCCGCTCTACACCGGCCTGTGATCTCCTGCATCTGGCTTTCCACTTCACGGCAGACGATCTCCGCGAGTACAAGGACGCCCAAGGCATTGAACCGACCTCGGCCATCCCCCAATCCAAATTTCGGCCGTTCATGCGCCATCATGTCATGGAGCACGGCCTACCCTTACGTCTCGACGCGGCCACCAACAACATCGCAACCCGCTCGGCCAACGGTGTGGTCTGCGGCGCGATTTCCGCCACTGACGACGAGGGCCTCTACCTCCTCATCACGACGGAGAGTGATGTAAGGCATGCTTACATCCTCCAACGTCTACCAGGCTTCATGTTACATCTCAACGACGGTAAAGACCACGTCGACATCCTCGACACGCTCCACCGGTCCGAACATCAACTCCAACGTCTTTGCCGCCACATTCCCATCGGTCCGCCGTGGCAAACAAGCGAAGACGCAAAAGGCCTAACCTCCCTCCATCCCCTGCATATATCCATAGCAAATTGACAGGTCACTTACTTAAGTGTAATGAACATCTTTCTCCTGAAATAAGGCAGAATGAAACCAATTTATGTAATGTAAGTAATTTCGCTCAACTATAACTAGGAGAATATCAGTCAGTCAATCACAGTTTTTCTTGTAGCTGTACTGCAATTGGTCAAAAGGAATGGCATTTCTAAATTGGTACAGAAGGATGCAAGTGGCAGAATTATTTAATCCCGATCGCGTTTTGGACGGCTTTTTTTGGGGTGTCAGCGTTTGCCAGGGTTCGCTGCCTCAATTTTCGCTGTCCACAAGAATTGCATGACCTTTGTAATTGTACTAGTTATACGAAATGCATATCCTGCAATAGAAGTTGTGGTGTTGACGATATGATAATGCATGGTGCAGTTCCCGTGGGATCGCCCACGCGAAGTGCGTTGCCCTCGTGGAGGTTCGGGCATCCGCAGAGTGTTTGCGGTGTCGCCTACGGTACCAGGCCCAGGTGCAACACTTCGTTGGCTGGCCGCTAGGCAGTAGCCAGTAGTCAGTAGATTCTAATGCTAAGGCACTCTTACTTTTGTTCACTGTGAGCGTCACCCTTTGATCAGCCTCCCACGCGCCGAGTGGAAGAACCGGGCGTGATAACAAAGAAATCTTTAGTTACCACTGGTCAACCAAGCGGCAACCTTGCTGTCGCAGAAGGCGAACGAACAAGATCGAAGAATGGATTCTGAAGGAACCATAAACCTCGAACGGATTGAATCCGAATCGCGCGGATCGCCGCGCCGGTCGAGGAGCCCCGAGCGCGATGAGCAAGCTGCGCTGCCACGCGCTCGCGGCCGTGGACAAAACCGCCGAGTGTCGGCGGGCCGTGAGCTGCGGGATGAGAGCGGACCGGAACCCTTTCGGTCGCCCCGTGGCAGGCAGCCCGTAGCGGCCGCCAGCTGGAAGCGTCAAAATGCATGGGAGACCCCGGTAGCGGCCCCATCTGCTGCGGGTGGTGCGCTGCCTGTCGGTGCGCTCCCGGTGCCAGCAACTACAGGACGCCACGTGGAGGCGCCTGTATTTCAACCCCCGACCACGCCGACGCCTGAGCAGCCGGCAACCCTAGGTGCCCCGACAGGGGGCGCAGCACCCGGAGCAGCTGGGCCGGGCTACGAAATCGATGATGATGACATGGGGCGGTTCGAAGACCGAATCGTCTACAACGCGCCGGCGATTCCTCACGCGCCTAAGTTGGATGGCATGACGAAGGAGCACTGCCGGCTGTTTATGCGCAAGTACAACGACTACCTGGAGCAAGTGAACGCCCTGCGGACGAACCGCACCAAGCCATTTGTGATGCCGGTGTCGGCGTGCATCGAGCACGCCAC